TACCAGGAACATACCCCAGCATTTATACCCCCACCATACCAGGAACATACCCCAGTATTTATACCCCCACCATACCAGGAACATACCCCAGTATTTATACCCCCCACCGTGGCAGGAACATACCCCGGGATTTACATCCACAGACACCTTCACCCAGTCACTATGGAATGCGCAGATGTTTATTGTCCAAGAACAGGATGGGAGATGTGAAAGTTGTGGAACGCCCCCCCCTGTTCTGGTTCCATAATCCATAGGTGTTATCCGTTGTACTTGTCTGAATGTGTGTATTGTTATCAAATGACCAGAGTACAGATGTGAAAACAGCATTCTATGTGGAGGGAACGATCGTTCCGTGCGACTGTCGGCAAAAATGAAGTTCTTCCTTTTCAGGTCGAATGTAATATCTGGAAAATACCACATTATGACCACTAGATGGAGCTGATGAATACGGCTTTCCTGTGCTCCTCACCTCCATCTAGTGGTCATAATGTGGTATTTTCCAGATATTACATTTGAGACTGCTGAGTCCTGAGCTGTAGAATCATAATTTTTTTTCCCCCCCCCCACAGATCATGGTTTGGAAAACCAACTTCGACTCCACCAGCTACTCCGACCTCCTGAACCGCAAAGCGCGAGATCCAACTCTGAATGGCATAGAGAGCAAGACAAGATGTCCGCCCAAACGGACGCGCCCGCCAATCCCCGATCACCCAATATACGAGGTTATCAGAGTTCATGTGATACAAATGTTCTCCGCAGTGCTGTCGATCTGCAGCCACTTCCTGTCTACATGCACTCCACTGATGGTAGCATGGCGGGTTTCCTGATGGCGACAACACTGGACCATGTCTGCGCCCCGCCCCTTTCATTCGATTTCAGTTCTTTGTCATGATGGGGGGGACGTTACCCATGGTAATTGTCTCCATGCAAATGCAGCCTGCCTAGGAACGCCCACTCCTCCAGACTGACACCCACCCATCATGGCACTTTGATATTTGCATAACTCCTCCCAAGGGTCCGCCCACTGCTTGCATCAGCACTGAGGGTTCTTGAGGGGCGTACTGAGGCAGGTGATGTGATGTTCTCAGGAAGTTCTATGCCATGCGGGCAGATCATGGTTTGTGGGAGGGGCCAGCAGGGTGCTGTACGTAGGTATAGCACCCTGCAAACCCCTCCCACCACCCATGATCTGCCTGCATTGTATAGAGAAGCACAGAGACTCGTTGATGACATCACTAGGCCTACTATAAGGGAACCAGGGATGGTGAAATATAAGCAGCTTCATTCTGTGTATTTCTCTGACCGTTGTCACTGATTTCTGTGTCTCCAGACGGGTGAATTTGATGTGCTCGGTAACTTGGGGAATGTAGAGAGAAGCCAAAGCCCCGGACCTCTGCCCAATGTGCAGCGAGAGGAGAGAGACCTTCAGAACGTGGCCAACACTCTGGAGCACATTGTGGGACAGCTGGATATCCTCACCCAGGTAAGAGCCTACAGCAGGGGCCTGAGACCCCGGAGGGAGCAGGGGGGCCATACTGCATCTCCTACCTCCCGATGGGACATCATAGGTCAGAAGTGATAGGTCCAATCACTTCTGACCTCTAGGGGCCCTCCAATTCCTGGGTGCTCACACTATGTAACCCCCCCAATCCATGCCATTGGTCATCTATAGTCATGTGATCAGTCTCTATAGTTTTATTCTCTTCTGATTGCAGACGGTGGGAATTCTTGAGCAGAGACTTTCCCTGACGGAGGACAAGCTGAGAGAATGTATAGAGCGGCAGGAGAGGGGGGGCCCCGCCCCCGTCCGCGGTACGCACATGTGACAACCATCGTTCTTTGTTTACATCTGTTCAAGATTTGTTTTTGTAAATATTTATATTATTTAATAAAAAGTTTGTTATTAAAATCCAATTCTTTTAATTGTTCATTTCCTATTTAAGTGGGGGGGCATGACTGCATTGTGTGCAGTGGCTGGGACGTTCGGATGTGCACAGGAAGTTGGGCTTCATTTGATAGAATTATGGAGATGAGATCGGACGCGGCTTCTCTCTTCCATGTGTTCTGTCTATTGATATAGAGCACTGACAGGCGCGCTCCTGGGACTCCCCATTCATATCTATGCCAGGCGCGCTCCCGAGGCGTTCCATTGAATGTGTTAGGCGCGCTCCCGGCCTCGCCATTGATGCCTGACAGGCGCGCTCCCTGGTTCTTCATTCAATTCTACGACGCTCACGTCAGGGGGGTGTGGCAGAGAGGCGGCTCCACCCCTCAGTGGGTTTGTTTTCTATTCGGGTAGCTGACGCCACATGTAGCTCCTCCTACACTAAGACAGGTCCCTGAGGTGGGTGTGGCGGGGAAA